GCCTCCTGGCTCAGCGCTCCTGCCGGGCCCAGGGCACAGCTCCCGCAGGGCCCACGGCACAGCACAGTGCGGGTAAAACAGCCTCGACACCAGCTGTGCCAGGTGGCGGGTGTGAGCAAGGGTGCCGTTCCTGCCCCCGGCACCTCATCAGCGTGAGAGCTGCCCGCTGTCCACGGACCATCAGGAAATGGGCGTGTCCCGTCGGAGGAGACGCCCAGCAGGGCCACGTGGAGCCAGCGAGCCCCCAGCCCCGTGGGAGGTGCCAGGAGACCGCCTCACTTGCAGCTGCTGGGAAGTGAGGGCCAGTTTTTATAAAAGTAGACACACAACCGGCATTCACCCAGAGAGATGGAGGTGCAGGCGTGCACAGGCCTGTACACACGTGTTCACAGCAGCTTGGTTTGTAATCTCTCCAAACCGGGCTGGTGGTTGAGCGAACCTCGGTGCGTCCCTGGAAAATGATGCTCAGCGGTAAAAGGAGGCTCCTGAGTGAGAGCTCCCTGCGAGGCTGCCGGCTTTCTGAGTCCCTTTCTAGAGCATTGAACGTATGTAGACAGACAGATAGACACAGACGGATAGCTAGATAGACTGATAGATAGATAGATAGATAGATAGATAGATAGATAGATAGACGGATAGATGATAGATAGATAGACAGACAGACACGGACGGACGGATAGACACAGATAGCTAGCTAGACAGATAGACAGACTGATAGCTAGATAGATGGATAGATGATAGATAGATAGACAGACAGACAGACGGATAGCTAGACAGACAGACGGATAGATAGATAGGTCGATAGGCAGGTAGACACAGACGGATAGCTAGATAGACAGACGGATAGATGATAGATAGATAGATAGATGATAGACGGATAGATGATAGATAGACAGACACAGACGGACAGATAGACACAGACAGCTAGCTAGACAGACGGATAGCTAGATAGATGGATAGATAGATAGATAGATAGATAGACAGACAGACGGATAGATAGATAGGTTGATAGGCAGATAGACACAGACGGATAGATAGATGGATAGATGATAGACGGATAGGTAGACAGGTAGATGGATAGACAGACGGATAGATAGATCGATAGGCAGATAGACACAGACAGATTGATAGATGGATAGGTAGATAGACAGGTAGATGGATAGACAGACAGGTAGGTAGATTTCAGAGAGTGGGAGAGAGGAACATCAGTGAGGAGAGAATCTGATTGGCTGCCTTCTGCACAACCCACACTGGGGATCAAGCCTGCAACCCTGGCATGTACCCTGACTGGGAATCGAACCATGACCTCCTGGTTCATAGGTCGAAGCTCAACCACTGAGCCATGCCAGCCAGGCCATTTCTAGAACATTCTTGAAGTGAGTCACAGAGATGGTGAACAGATGGGTACCTGGACCCAGTGCTCACACAAATAGGAATGCGTGGTAAAATGGCACAGAGCTGGGGGGCCCGTGTGCGCACACGTGCACACACCCATATGGCAGCACATACGTGGCAGCACACAAGTGGCCGCACACGCGTAGCGGCTGGCAGGAGCCTGAGCTTGCCGAGGTGGGTTGCCTGTCTGCTGCGTGTGCCGGGCTCTGGGCTCTGGTTCCGGGTTCCTGTGAGTCTGTTTCCAGATAAAGGTTAAGGAACCAGCCTGCGCTCTGTGAGCCCGCGCTCACCCTGTCCACCCCACTGCCCGCGGCCCCTGCGGCTGTCACCACCGTCGCCCACGGAGCCGCTCTGATGGCTGCTCGCCCTGCGTCCTGGCCCCCGACTAAACGTTGGTTTTGCAATGCCTGTGTCTCTGAGACTCCCTCACGGACCAGGCGCTGCCCCATGTTCACGCTCACCGCCCGGAATTGTCTCCCCAGGCTCACCCAGTGGATTCACTCCTGGGGCCTTCGGTCCCAAAGCAGCCCCCCCTCCCAAGGGCGGCAGCTCCTGGCAGACAAGTCGGCCCCCGACCCAGGGCGCCCCACGGGCCCCCCAGACCAAGCCACCCCCCAAAACCTGTGCACAGCCAAGGCCTAACTACGCGAGCTTCAGCGTTATCGGCGGCCGAGAGGAGCGGGGTATCCGCGTCCCCAGCTTTGGTGAGTCCTCTTCCCTCCGTGTGGACTTTTTCCCGGGAAAGCTCTGAGCCCAGAGCCCTCACCATAGGAGCCACAACTGGGTGGGGGCGCGGTTCTGATGGTGTCTGTGGTGTCCCCGTCCCGGCCAGTGCGGCCCAGGTGGCCAGGCCCATGCTGCCGGGAACTGGCCTGGCTATGGTGTCATCCCTGGGATGGCATAGCCACGTCAGCCCCAGGCGGTGACCTTTGCCCCCGTGGAGCCCTGTGGGTGCTTCCCACACAAGGTCCAGTGGGCAGAGGGTCAGCAGCCATGTCCAACCCCCCCCCCCGCTCCAGCTCAGAAGCCGCGGGTGTCGGAGAACCATTTTGAAGACCTGCTGTCGAACCAGGGCTTCTCCTCCAAGGCCGACAGGAAGGGGCCGAGGACCATCGCCGAGATGAGGAGGCAGGACCAGGCGAGGGACACAGACCCGCTCAAGCTGAAGGTGCGCGGCGGCGGGGGCAGAGCGGCCGGGGTCACCCAGGGCGTCCCCGTGTGGCCCTTGTCCTGGGCGCTGAGGTTCCCTGGGGCCAAGATCACCTGCCTTTGCCGCGTGGGCAGCAGCTGCCGGGCCAGCTCGCACGTTTGGAGGGTTGGGGGGGCGTCTCCCACCCAGGCTCCTGGCCTTGGAGAGTTTGCAGTGGATGCGAAGCGGGCGCGCAGCCCCTCCCCCAGCGGCTCCGCTCGGGCAGCGTCAGGCTGAAGGCGGAGGCTCTGCTCTCTGTTACTCGGGGTCTGGCTCCTCGGGAATTCTAGCCGTACCTAACCCCAGCCCGCAGGGCGGGCGACGTGCCTGAGGCCCCCTGGGGGAGGGCGTCTGCCGCGTGCACTCCGGCCTCTGCTGGGCGCCTAAGCCCAGGTGTCTTCATGGCAGATCGGTGGAGATGGGGGTGTGGGTCACTGACAGGCCACCGGAGCCTGGTCTGTCGTCCTGCTGGGCCCTGGAGCTCCAGGACAGGCTGTGCGGCCGCAGTGGGGGGCTGGCCGTGAATTCCACGCTGTCGTGTCCTATGTGGGGTCTGGCCAGGCCTGGGAGTGGTGCTGACCGTGCCTGGTAGGGTCAGCACAGGAAGTGGGACAGGGCCTGTTCTTGTGGCGTTGGAGGCTGGCTTGGGGTGGATGCGTGTGGAGTGTTGCGATGCTGGCCCATGCATGGGGGCTGGGCCAGGACTCCTGCCTGCAGCTCCACATCTCCCCCAGCTCCTGGACTGGACCGAGGGCAAGGAGAGGAACATCCGCGCCCTGCTGTCCACACTACACACCGTGCTGTGGGACGGCGAGAGCCGCTGGACGCCCGTGGGCATGGCTGACCTGGTGACGCCCGAGCAGGTGAAGAAGCAGTACCGCCGGGCCGTGCTGGTGGTGCACCCCGACAAGGTGAGTGCCCACTGGGCGGGTCCACTGGGAGGTGAGTGCGGGCAGGGTCCACTGGGAGGTGAGCGCCCACTGGGCGGGTCCACTGGGAGGTGAGTGCCCACTGGGCGGGGTCCACTGGGAGGTGAGTGCCCACTGGGCGGGTCCACTGGGAGGTGAGTGCCCACTGGGCGGGGTCCACTGGGAGGTGAGTGCCCACTGGGCGGGTCCACTGGGAGGTGAGTGCTGGGAGCGATGCCAGGAGCTGGCGTGGGACCATCCTCCCCTCCGTCCCGCAGGCCACGGGGCAGCCCTACGAGCAGCAGGCCAGGATGATCTTCATGGAGCTGAGCGACGCCTGGTCCGAGTTCGAGAGCCAGGGCGCCCGGCCTCTCTTCTGAGCCCTCTGGTCACAGCTGCATGT